ATGACTTGACTTTGACTTTGACTTTAGGTGACCTGAAACTTAGTACCTACTCTCTAAGTCTGTATAAGGCTTAGGTTCCTATTCATGGTAGTATCACCAACGAAATTTCACTAGCAAATAAAATCCTTGAACGATTATAAGTTAGATACAAAAACTCTTTTATATAACTAAGCCTTTTTTGAGGTCTATGGGGCACGGTCATATCACTATCTAGCTAGATCAATACCAATTTTATTTAAATAAAACACTGTCCACTCTGTGGCAGAATATTTATAAACAAAGGTGGATTTTGCAGCCACTTGAGAGCCCATGATAGACGCCAGTAGTCAAGAAACAGTCAAACTGAAACCGGCATGGAGGGTTATTATTATTGAAATAGTTACATAATAGGTTGTATTTTATTCAATATGACTAACATTTTTGCGGTCCCTAGATGGCGCTGATGTATCCTAAGGGGATTTGTGAAATAAAGACTTTGTGTCCAATCATTGGATAATCAAATCACGGGAGAGCCATGCTTCGGCACGAATGGGCCGGCTCGACCGCAGTGATACCACGGCCTTACAGAAAACCGACATGAAGCAACACTTGCGTTGTGTTTCGTCGTGTGAGTGAGGTTACCAGAGGCCCAATTACCTTCCCCTTCCCCAATCTCCCTAATCCCTGAATCCCCAACGATCCTCAAACTCCTAATCCCCAAAAAGCCGGCGACGCACTTGTAACGCCTCTGGTGTTCCAGGTGTTCATGGGCGACGCCGATTGCTTACCATCAGGTGATCCGTCTGCTCGTTTACCGGCTTATGCCATAAAATAAAATCAATTTTAGACAAATAGGGCCTCACGTTACATTGTCCATGGGCGGTGCTGATCCCTTATCATCAGATGATCCGTCTGCTCATTTGCCTCATATCCCATACATTTGAGCTATCAGGTCAAAAACGTTAGCCCCCATTGCCTATTTGAAAATTTAGATACTATTAGTATTTTCCATTGTAATTAAAAAACGATTATATATGAATGCACGCCTTAAAAAATCGCTGTTCTCATAGCCCGTGCACCTGCAACCAGTAACTGTTATAACTGAAATAAGAAGAACATGGCGTCTGCAACATTTTGTGCAACGCTCGGTAACATTTAACAAGTCGACGACAACCACTTTGTTAATCTACAATCTAGATAATATTTTTATATCTGCATTTTGTTATTTTTGTACACAACACAATTTTATTGTTGATCGGCCTTTCTCTTGCGTGGCGTAATGATGAAAGGACAACTTTATAATTACAATTTATGTTTGATTGCTTTGATTTATAGATTAACATTACTACGTTTATCTTCTCAACCCTTATTACCTCTACATAGCAATTATGAGTGATTATTAGTCGCATTGCTATTGTGCAACTCTGCCTACTCTTTTCAGGCTTTATTAGACGTAATTAGGGGTCTTTACTTCATTTTTAACAACATCACAACAACAACCTCTTATTTTCTTGGGTTTAGGCAGATCTATGTAATTTATACCTTTTTATCAGTTACGTATGTTATGTTATGAGTGAAGCAAGTAATAACAATAAAAACATTTTATATTGGTAAAATCTATATTTTTATTAAAGAAAAACACAAAATACTCGACCAACACGACACAGGTTTAGTATAAAATTAAGGCAAATAATTATTGCATTATCTATCACTAGAACAATTAAAATTGTACATTAATGTAATGGATAACTTAGTAGGGGTGAACCTGAACAAACTACTTATTTTGTATTTATAAAATTTTACAAATATTGTATCAAATATAACAACTAAGACTAATTCACTAAGACACCACCGTCGTCCGATCAGTCGCACGGCCATGTTGTCAAGAGAGAGTTAATAGAACAAACTCTATTTGGGTGCCGACGACAAAGTTGGACAACTAAGTTCATACCAGGTGACATACCCTCCATACATTTTAATTTTAATAGTCATACGACCATGGTGTCCTGATGAAATAGAGCTTCAAATTTCCTAACTACATATATGTTTATCATCAATCAGAGACATGATACCTATGGTTTTGTTATTGAGTTTCCAAAAGTACCTGGATTTGCTATTGAGACTTACAGATACCAAAAAATCTTCGGCAAGTTACGACAACTCAAGGTGCTTTGTATTACAATATAAATGTCGGGAGAAATATTAATTTACTTATGTAACTGTTTAACGAGGTTACTCAACTAGTTTCAAGCAGCACCGGGGTCCATAATTGGAGCATCAATTGGAATATTTGGCTATAAAAACGACCGATATATAAATAACTGGAACTGGCTTTCGTTCTTGGTTGCTCTAAACAGAGATTTGAAGCAAGTTGTTGGTATTCAACAGTCGCAGTCAGCACAGCATTTAAAAACAACATAATTATATGAAACAATCACATCTATTGAATTTAAATTCGCAATCATTTATATTGTTATCGCTAAGTATATTCTAAGTGGATAGTATTAGAAAATGGAGTGAATAGAAACAAATTAATCAAATAATTATTCAATATTTCTCAATGCAGCCTGCTAATAATTATTTATTTAAACATAAATGAATATAGAAGACTGGTGTCTGAAAATACTAGAACTTTTTTAAATATTTTGTTTCTTTTCATCCCATTTTACATAGTCAATAAATGAACAAATGAATACATACAGCTATGCTATACTATAAGGTGTCAATTGGAACTCTCGTTGAGCTCGATCACAATCTCGCCCGTCATTGGTCGAGATTATTTTCACAACTAATGATAGCCCAGCAGAAATCATTTCAGTTTTAGGCACAAACATAAAATAACAACTTTAACACCAATCAAAATTAACAAGTAACATATACAAAAAATGGAGAAAGAATATTATATCAGATGACTTCCATACATCATCATCATCACACAACAGTAATTATAATGAAAATTAAATTAACAATTATATGGTGCTTGTGCAATATTAGGCCAGTAGTCTACAAACTGAAGATAATAAAAAATGTAATATAAATCAGAAAAACGTTGAACATTGTTGCATTTTTTTATTTATCTAAATCCTGCTCATTTTTTATGACTAGACTTATTTTAGGCACTTGAGACATTTCTAAAACATCTTTTTGAACTGGTTGTATGAAAACTAAAGCTACACACATTTTTATTTACAGTGATCTTTTTTCATTCGTATTTTCTTAGAGATAAGCACGAGACCGCAATAACTGCTAGTTGTTGTTCATATATAACGGTTTTGTGACAATAATAAGTACCTAGCCAACCATACCTACTTGCAAATATGTTTTTATCTGGATGGAAGCGCTAATGTCACTTATAATATAATCTATAAATCAACATTCCTAAAGCAATATTTTTAAGGCCGCCTTAACATGGTCACAGTTGCTTCGCCAAGAGTTAAACAACAGAGAACTTCCTCCGTAAGCAGTGGCGTAACTACAGGGTGGCATGACTGGAAAATGCCAGAGGCTCTGGACGAAAGGCGCCCCCGTTCAAAAGTCCATACCTGAACTTCTCTGTTTAATAGACAAAGGGGGTCCGTCTGTATAGTTCCGCAACTGTCTGCTAGTTAATTGTCTTCTGTCGTTGTGATACAAAACATATTTGGGGCCTGTTGTACTACCTCCATATAAGTACCCGATAAACTTATGTGACAGATTGCTCATACAAATTACTTTCTGTTTCAGCCAAAATTATTAACCAACCTCAATGCAAAATCAGTTAAATTATTATGTTTTTCGGCTTACTCACATTACAGTTTGACGAAGAACTCGACTAGTCCTTGTCAAACAAATACAACATGTAACGTAATTGACGCACACCCTCAAACACCCCAATTAGAATATTATGTTATAATCATGATACATACACTACATTTTTAATTTAACATGTATATGCATCCTTACTGGTCTTGTCATAAGGTTTATTTTTCTATATTTTGTATTGAATGATAGAATTTGTATGAATACAAATAAAACTGCGATTTTAAGTCTTATTGCTTTGACTTACGGTCCATTTCGATTTGTTTTAAGAATACAAGGTTAATATGACAATAATTTCCGTAGTTTTAATTATTTTTGAGATAAAAAATTATCTATACTAAAAATTATATTATAATTCGATTCAGTTAACGATTCTGATCAAACTATTTTCAGGATGTGCGTTATTTAAGTTACATGTTGTACACGAGTAAGCCGAAAAACATAATAAACGGAAACGAAAATATAATCAATGTCTGGTTTAGATCGATTTTTGACATAGTTGCATGGCCTTAGAATATTTACCTATACTCTAAGGTGAAAAATAATATTAATTCTTGAATTTTGAATTGAAATTGGTTATTCATTTCCACGGTTTATCTGGCACTAGGTGACTATCCAGATATTATGAAGCAGGCCCTAAATCAGAAGTATAGGTTTTGTGTCGCATATAGATGTTTCATAAATATACCCAATGATATGATAGATCTCTGGAAAACCGATCTTTCATGTATTGATAGCAAATAGGGCTGTTTGATTTAAAATAAATTCATTAAGAAAACAAAATACTACCTTATTAATACTTGCATATTGTTGTATCATACACATTTGATACTTTACTGTGTACTTTAAAAATATAAAATAATTGTATGAATGGTAGCAAAACTAGGATATTATTTTAATCTAACAAAGGGACTGAACATTTTGCCTGTGCAGTTATAGTGGAAACCTTCAAAGTTAAATGCTTTTTTATGGTAATGTCTATCAAACAAATGATAAACAGCATAATTGATATATTAATTTATTGAAACCATATTATATATTCTACATACACTTTTCTTACTAAACTTAATACTGGCAATTTCTTGATCTAGATTACATAGTAACAAAACGTCGCAGCCCTAACAAATGTGTATGATACTAACATAAAAATGTTCCAAAATGTATTGATTCTATAAAACAACGTAGAAAAGTCCAAAACACTAGAATTTATATACACAAATTGTTTATGCGTCGCTTGGTATCGGTTTCACTTCGTTTACGTGCGAAACTTCTTCATTTGACGATTCTACGACTGTTACGTCAGCGTCCCCGCATCCGATCACCGCGGCTACCTCTTGTACTTCATTTAAAAACTTAGATAACACTTCGTTTACGTCATTAATGTTAGTTTCTATGACTGTTTCTACTTCTACATTTGTGACTTCCGTACTATCACTTGAAGGCTCCTCTACCGGTGACGCCGCTGAACTTTCATTCGAAGTCGTTTCTTTCGCTTCCTCTGTCTGGGTTTTGATTGGAATTTCGTTCGAAGCCGTTTCTTTCGCTTCCGCTGTTTGTGTTTTGATTGGACTTTCATTCGAAGCGGTTTCTTTCGTTTCCGTTGTCTGGGTCTTGATTGGACTTTCATTCGACGTCATTTCTTTCGCTTCCGGTGTCTGGGTCTTGATTGGACTTTCGTTCGACGTCATGTCTTTCGCTTCCGCTGTCTGGGTTTTGATTGGACTTTCATTCGACTTCGATTCTTTTGCTTCCACTGACTGGGTTTCGATTTCTTTAATCCCAACTTCTTCCGAATTCTCTTCTGAATCATCTTCGTCTAAAATTACATCGCTTATAACTTCCAACTCATAAGGGCCTGTCCTAATTACTTTAGAACTCATCTCCTGTATTAGATTCTCTAGTGTTTTTTCATCAACCGTGTCAGGATCAATTAAAGTTATATTTTCAAGGGCACTAGATTCACTTTTTTCTACGTTTTCAACTTGTACTGTAGCAGTGGCTTCATTACTTTCAACCTCCTCATTACTCTCTGTTTCTTTAGCTGCTTCTGCTGCCTTTTCAGCTTCAGCTTTAGCTTTCTCTGCTTTATTCTTCTTAGATTTAGATTTCTTTTGTTTTTCTGTTTTCTCTACTTTTTCAGGTGCGGGCGATTCTTCTGTTGGTTTGTTTGTCAATGTGTTTAATTGAGTTTGTAGATGTGCGAGACTCTGGCGCAGTTGGGCACAGTTGGCGGCCATCGCATCAACCTGAGGAGTTAAATATACTTCCATTAGTTGTTACTTTGTACTCACGATAATTCTATCTACATACTCCATCAATTGTTAGTATACTCCATCAAGTTGATATTAAAACGAAGAGAAGTACCTTAGCATTCGACGCAGGTTGGTGCGCGAGCGGCGCGGGCGGCGGCGGGGCCGGCGCGGGCGGCAGCGCGGGCAGCGCCGGCCGCTCTATGTTGTTGTCCTTCAAGGTGCCCAGTAATACTGTACGCTCCGCCTGGGACAAACAAAATACATTATTTCCATGTTTTTGTAGAGAATTGCAACCCATTTTTAGGTATGAAACAATGAATCATTAGTACTATTTAGATAAGACCAATATGCGAACCCTGGGGAACACCTTAAATTTTTTAGGCTTTAAATGAAGATACTACGATTTATTTAATTTATTTCACTTTCATCTATTCTAAAACCGAATAAATACATTATAAATACATTTTGTAAATATAAAAATGTCAAGAGAATGAAGTATAAAAGGATTGATTCTACGAATACAGATGTAAGACAGTAGCAATTGCCAGATGAAGTGGTGTAAGCGTGGAGTGTACCTGCAGCGTGCGACAGAGCCCCTGCATGTGGTGTAAGCGTGGAGTGTACCTGCAGCGTGCGACAGAGCCCCTGCATGTGGTGTAAGTGTCCAGTATACCTGCAGCGTGCGACAGAGCCCCTGCATGTGGTGTAAGCGTGGAGTGTACCTGCAGCGTGCGACAGAGCCCCTGCATGTGGTGTAAGTGTCCAGTATACCTGCAGCGTGCGACAGAGCCCCTGCATGTGGTGTAAGCGTGGAGTGTACCTGCAGCGTGCGACAGAGCCCCTGCATGTGGTGTAAGCGTGGAGTGTACCTGCAGCGTGCGACAGAGCCCCTGCATGTGGTGTAAGCGTGGAGTGTACCTGCAGCGTGCGACAGAGCCCCTGCATGTGGTGTAAGTGTCCAGTATACCTGCAGCGTGCGACAGAGCCCCTGCATGTGGTGTAAGTGTCCAGTATACCTGCAGCGTGCGACAGAGCCCCTGCATGTGGTGTAAGTGTCCAGTATACCTGCAGCGTGCGACAGAGCCCCTGCATGTGGTGTAAGTGTCCAGTATACCTGCAGCGTGCGACAGAGCCCCTGCATGTGGTGTAAGCGTGGAGTGTACCTGCAGCGTGCGACAGAGCCCCTGCATGTGGTGTAAGTGGAGTGTACCTGCAGCGTGCGACAGAGCCCCTGCATGTGGTGTAAGTGTCCAGTGTACCTGCAGCGTGCGACAGAGCCCCTGCATGTGGTGTAAGTGTCCAGTATACCTGCAGCGTGCGACAGAGCCCCTGCATGTGGTGTAAGTGTCCAGTATACCTGCAGCGTGCGACAGAGCCCCTGCATGTGGTGTAAGTGAGTGTACCTGCAGCGTGCGACAGAGCCCCTGCATGTGGTGTAAGTGTCCAGTATACCTGCAGCGTGCGACAGAGCCCCTGCATGTGGTGTAAGTGTCCAGTATACCTGCAGCGTGCGACAGAGCCCCTGCATGTGGTGTAAGTGTCCAGTGTACCTGCAGCGTGCGACAGAGCCCCTGCATGTGGTGTAAGTGTCCAGTGTACCTGCAGCGTGCGACAGAGCCCCTGCATGTGGTGTAAGCGTGGAGTGTACCTGCAGCGTGCGACAGAGCCCCTGCATGTGGTGTAAGCGTGGAGTGTACCTGCAGCGTGCGACAGAGCCCCTGCATGTGGTGTAAGCGTGGAGTGTACCTGCAGCGTGCGACAGAGCCCCTGCATGTGGTGTAAGCGTGGAGTGTACCTGCAGCGTGCGACAGAGCCCCTGCATGTGTTGTAAGCGTGGAGTGTACCTGCAGCGTGCGACAGAGCCCCTGCATGTGGTGTAAGTGTCCAGTGTACCTGCAGCGTGCGACAGAGCCCCTGCATGTGGTGTAAGTGTCCAGTATACCTGCAGCGTGCGACAGAGCCCCTGCATGTGGTGTAAGTGTCCAGTATACCTGCAGCGTGCGACAGAGCCCCTGCATGTGGTGTAAGTGTCCAGTGTACCTGCAGCGTGCGACAGAGCCCCTGCATGTGGTGTAAGTGTCCAGTATACCTGCAGCGTGCGACAGAGCCCCTGCATGTGGTGTAAGTGTCCAGTATACCTGCAGCGTGCGACAGAGCCCCTGCATGTGGTGTAAGTGTCCAGTATACCTGCAGCGTGCGACAGAGCCCCTGCATGTGGTGTAAGTGTCCAGTATACCTGCAGCGTGCGACAGAGCCCCTGCATGTGGTGTAAGTGTCCAGTATACCTGCAGCGTGCGACAGAGCCCCTGCATGTGGTGTAAGTGTCCAGTGTACCTGCAGCGTGCGACAGAGCCCCTGCATGTGGTGTAAGTGTCCAGTGTACCTGCAGCGTGCGACAGAGCCCCTGCATGTGGTGTAAGTGTCCAGTGTACCTGCAGCGTGCGACAGAGCCCTGCATGTGGTGTAAGTGTCCAGTATACCTGCAGCGTGCGACAGAGCCCCTGCATGTGGTGTAAGTGTCCAGTATACCTGCAGCGTGCGACAGAGCCCCTGCATGTGGTGTAAGTGTCCAGTATACCTGCAGCGTGCGACAGAGCCCCTGCATGTGGTGTAAGTGTCCAGTATACCTGCAGCGTGCGACAGAGCCCCTGCATGTGGTGTAAGTGTCCAGTATACCTGCAGCGTGCGACAGAGCCCTGCATGTGGTGTAAGTGTCCAGTATACCTGCAGCGTGCGACAGAGCCCCTGCATGTGGTGTAAGTGTCCAGTATACCTGCAGCGTGCGACAGAGCCCCTGCATGTGGTGTAAGTGTCCAGTATACCTGCAGCGTGCGACAGAGCCCCTGCATGTGGTGTAAGTGTCCAGTATACCTGCAGCGTGCGACAGAGCCCCTGCATGTGGTGTAAGTGTCCAGTATACCTGCAGCGTGCGACAGAGCCCCTGCATGTGGTGTAAGTGTCCAGTATACCTGCAGCGTGCGACAGAGCCCCTGCATGTGGTGTAAGTGTCCAGTATACCTGCAGCGTGCGACAGAGCCCCTGCATGTGGTGTAAGTGTCCAGTATACCTGCAGCGTGCGACAGAGCCCCTGCATGTGGTGTAAGTGTCCAGTATACCTGCAGCGTGCGACAGAGCCCCTGCATGTGGTGTAAGTGTCCAGTATACCTGCAGCGTGCGACAGAGCCCCTGCATGTGGTGTAAGTGTCCAGTGTACCTGCAGCGTGCGACAGAGCCCCTGCATGTGGTGTAAGTGTCCAGTGTACCTGCAGCGTGCGACAGAGCCCCTGCATGTGGTGTAAGTGTCCAGTGTACCTGCAGCGTGCGACAGAGCCCCTGCATGTGGTGTAAGTGTCCAGTGTACCTGCAGCGTGCGACAGAGCCCCTGCATGTGGTGTAAGTGTCCAGTGTACCTGCAGCGTGCGACAGAGCCCCTGCATGTGGTGTAAGTGTCCAGTGTACCTGCAGCGTGCGACAGAGCCCCTGCATGTGGTGTAAGTGTCCAGTGTACCTGCAGCGTGCGACAGAGCCCCTGCATGTGGTGTAAGTGTCCAGTGTACCTGCAGCGTGCGACAGAGCCCCTGCATGTGGTGTAAGTGTCCAGTGTACCTGCAGCGTGCGACAGAGCCCCTGCATGTGGTGCAGCTGCCTGGCGGCGGCGGCGGCGCGGTCGGTGGCGGCCTGTCTCTCCGCGCACATGTCCAGTAAGGCTGTCTGCGATGTCTCCCAACGTGTCTTCCACGACAGAGACTCCTTCTCCAACCTTTTGATCTTCTTTGCCATCTGAACACGACAAATTGAGGTATAAAGGTTGTGATTAGATAAAAACTTTCGCTAGGACCTCAATGACTACAAATTCTCGTATATTTGATACTTGGAATATGTCTGGTCATTTTATTATGTTTTCGGCTTACTCACGTAACTGTTTGAGGAGGAATTCGACTAGTTTCAAGCACAAAATGATTAATTTAGTGGGTATGTCTCACGAAAGTCGAGTCACTTTGTTCAATAGGGTTGAGAAGAAGCTATTAAAGAACATAATCTACCTTTTTCATACTCTGTAAATGTTCTTAAGCTTGTCAATGTTCTTTCTAAAAAAGTAACCAATTAATAAATTGTTTCCTTTTGTCTTACCATATCCATTTGTTCTTTGAAGTTGGTGAACATCTTATTGCTTTTCGTCAACGCATTCTGGAACTCATCATACTTATCCGTGTACACCGCTAACTGACTACGCAAACCTGGAAATGACGCCAAATATCGTTGGTTGATTTGTTGCAAGCTAGTTGCTAAACAATCTAAGGTTTTATTTCTATGTTGGCTAGAGTATTACGACTCGCTATTACATCGCATCGCATATAAAGTATAAGAATAGAAAAGGGAGTGTTTTAGATTCCTTTTGAGGATTTAAGTTTTTAATAAAAATAAATTATATTATTAATTAGTTTAGTAATGACTGCCTCGTTGGCCGAGTGGTCGTAAGTGTGACTGCCGGGCAAGGGGTCTAGGGTTCGATTCCCGGGTCGGGCAAATTATTACTGTGTTTTTAAATATTCTCAGTAGAAGCACGGAGTCTGGAATTGTGCCCGGTATATGGCAATAGGCTCACCCCCTATTACATGGGACCCATAATATAAATAGTGAAAAGTGGGTGTTACATTGACCAGTGGTATAATGTGCACCTCTGCCTCGGGGATAAAAGGCGTGATGTTATGTTATGTTAAATTATATTAAGCGTCTATCATTTTCTTCTTTTGGCATGCCATAATAATATGGCAATAAGCAATTAGTCAGAACACAGTGTAACACTACTTCTATATTTCGAAACAAATATTTGACTTTCAATCTTTAAAAGCTGATGATGACTTACTAGTCTCAGTTCCCTGTAGCTCCATGATCTTAGCTCTATATTGCGCGAGCGTGACCTTGACCTGCTCCATCTCAGCCAGTAGTCTCTCCTTGTCTGCTTGATGCTCTAGGCTCGCCTTTTGCATCTTAGCGTCGGATAGTTGGGATTCTAACGCCATTTGTTTCGCCATTTTGTCCACCTGGAATTTACAGGGAAAATATTGTCAAGATTATATTTTTGTGATTTAGGTCGTCAATCCTTACAAATTATAAACATATGCTTCTTTGTGCCGCCTCCGTGTATTTTGTGATAAATTCCAAAAGTGATGAATCAATTTTTATACCATTTCTACCAGTGGAAAATTATTGTAAAGAAATATTTAAGATCTTATTGAAAAAAGGAAATCTAAGAAGAATCTTATCTGTAAAAGTTTCACACACAGCAGGCAGGAAGGAGATTGAGCTTTCCGTGAATTTTAAAAGTCTTGTTATATTAACATTAAGTTTAGCATTAATGTATGTCCAGGGACATCAAAATGTAAGTACCTACATATTTTGGTAAGACCCATAATTTTAAAGTTAAAAGCTTTTGACGGCACGGCTGGCGAGGTAGCTGGGCGACTGGCTGCCGCGCAACGTATCGCGGGTTCAATTCCCGCACGGAACAACTCTTTACGTGATCCACAGATTGTTGTTTTGAGTCTGAGTGTCATGTGTATGTGAATGTTTATGTTTGTAAACGCACCCACATCATTCATCCATGAGAAAATCCTAATGTAGGTCAACATTAAAAAAAAGGAATGTCAAATACCCATAATATTACTAGTGAAACAAAATCACACCTGTTGTTCCCTAAGCTGATACTGCTGCACCACAGACTTAAATTTCTCGCTCATACTGATATTATCATCCCGGAGTTTGGCATTCTTCTCATTGTTCTGCTGCAGCATGGCTGTGATCTCTGACAGAGTGTTCTGGAACTTAGCCTGTGTCTCCTTGCGACGTTCCTCCTCTTCACGGATTTTCAGTAGAGATTCTTCCTGTAAAGTAAATTATTCATGTCAATATGAATTCAAGCCTTTGACTTTAGTATTTAGAAAATGTAATATAAAGGCAATATTATGCTAATTAATTAACACTTTTACTTAGTAAAATATTTTCTAAAATAAATAACATGTCAGTTTAGATAAATCTTTCTGCATGCAAATAAGGCTGTTAATAGTATGATCAAAAAGAGCACAGCATTTCATAAACTCAGTACTTTTAACAATAAACTTCCTGTTACATAAATCCCATTATGGAATTATAATTTAAATATTATTTCCAATATTTTAAACATACAATAGAAGGTGACCTAATATTATTCTTATTGCATAATCAGAGATTAAGCTAAGATATGCAATAAGCGAAGTTAACAAAGGACAGTTAGGTATTGTAATACTTTCAGCGGAACGGTTTCAGTACCATTTAAATATTAAATGAGTATTATTTCGACGCAAGAGTATCTATGCCTCTTTTCATCACGGCCAGATTAACATTATAAGTTTATTTAAGAGCTTGCATTTAACATTATGCAGATGTAATACATAAAACAAAAAAACTGCAAGTGCTTATGAAATTGTATTCTTCCGATTATAGGAATATCTTATAAGACAACCTAAAACTAACTAGAACACATGAATAAATTACACAATAACAAACCTTAATAGCCTTATTCTGTTTCTGTAATTCCCTGCAGAGATTTTCCAACTTAGATTTGACGAGAATAGTCTTATTGAACTCTAGTTGTAACTGTTCTTTCTCCTTTAACAACATTGCGTGGCGCTTGTCCGACTGCTTAATGTAAAACTGCATCTTTTTATTGTCGTCTGCAGTCTGAACATATTTCTTACACACTAGAGACAGTTTCTCCTCAAGAGTTGGTACGGAGTTCAATGATTTCATAAACTGCTCAACGTTTTTATCATCTCGTCTGCTACGGTCATCTCGTTTCCCTTTTTTTACTTCAAGCGGTGGTGTCGGTGTTGATTCCTGGAATTGTTAGATTCTTATAAGTATTTTATTTAGTTATGACCTCATAACTATTCTAGTTTTGATTTTTATTGACAATGCACAATAAAATTAGGTAGTTGTAAAAATATTTGTGAATCATTCTAGTTATAATAATATAGTTTTACAGCCTAAATTATCACTCATAAAATGCGTACAGCGTCATTGTACTACTAGTAATCATACAAACATACTCAAATTTACAGGTGTGAACTATTTATAGATATCCCCATCCAAGGAATAATTTTTTGACCTAAATATGGCCATTGTGTGTAATATGTAATAAGACCCTTTATTTTAAATGTCAAAATACGAAATCTGACTCTGACAGACTAAAATGTTTATCAATCTTTATTTTTGCAGTATAATACTTCAATGTTTATGACACCTACTTTTAGAGTGGATTTTAAAATATTTCTATAAAACATAGGGTATCAGAAAATACAGGTGTTCGCTAATAATTGAACATCGCCCTACCATTAACCATAAAAGCAGAAAGCATGTGAAACGTGCTTCCGAACAAAAATATCAAAAACATTACGGGAATTGGCAGTTTGCCAACAAACTTTCAGGTTAACATTTCTCCACTTTTCGACTTAAGTTTAAGACATATGAAGTTTTTAACTACGAATACTTGTAGTAAATACATGACTAGCAAAAAAGCGATTGCAAACATACAGTGAAATACCGGCAAATTGCATGATATGTGAATCAATCGTTTACCGACATTCGATAGCGTTCTATTTATAAACCTATTGAATTTTACAATAGTTTCAACTTACAGTAGCGGTATTGTTAGATTGCACATTTTCTGTGCTTTCTTTTTGAGTATCTTCCGTTGCTGCTTCCATTTTAAAACAATTTATCTTCCTCTAAATTTTTCTAAACAAAACGGAACAAGACGTTTCTATTAGGGTTGTCCACTTAGCAAAACTGATGGAAAGAAATATAACGAGAATCCGAGATTCCGATTAGTTACTGTTCGTGTCCACTACCATGAACTCAAATCGATTGCAATCATGACTGTTATTTAAAAAATATTAAAAACGGATTGGTTTTAAGAGAATTTCTAAAAAATAAAAGTATTTTGAATAATAAAATAATCTGAATGAATTTAATTTCAGACAAGAAATTGTAACTTATTTTCAGATGTGAAGAAACTACAATAATATTAGACTGAAGAAACATCACAATCGATCAAATAAAAGACACTTTCCCAGAACACTGTAAACATAGCAACACTGTTTACGCGTTCAGAAATATTAAGTTATATTACAATAACTTATTTTTAGAAAAATGAGAGCCTAGAAATGTCATGTTTATTTCTAAAATAAATTAATTTTAAAATATCGATAGTATACATATTTTCAAATTACCTAAGAGGTTTTCAACGTTTTATCCGGTACTAACTAGAAATGTTCGGTTTTACAGTGTTGCTGCACTTGTCATCTTCTACTATTTCAGAAATAAGTGTTTCTTTGAATATGTAATAAGAGTTTTAATTGCTTATTCTAACTATTTTAATAATGCAATACTTTAATTATAGGGTTGGTTGAGTGAACTAACGATAGCTTGTTCATAATCATTCTTATCAAGATACGATTGTGAAGTTACGTGACGTTCGCCGCATCGTCGGTCATTGCTAAGTTAGCAATAAGTAACATGCCATATGCGCGATAAATAAACAATATTTATATTAGCAATGCTAACATAAATATTAGTCTCTAAGACTTCTGTCTGGGTGGGTAACGTCTCTTGCACATCTCGGGTAAGATACGGGAGAACCACAAATTAATATTGTATTGTGTGGTGAAGAATTTGTTTTTATGTCAAACGTAGAATAGGCTAGTGTGAAACAAAGAAGGATTTTAATTTTTATTTATTTATTTATTATAAATCGTCAACTTTTTTATTTTCAAAATTAATAGTAGGTTTTAGTAGCAAATGGTAGGTTTTCAATTCCAAGAAGTGCAATACTTTATGTATCTGTCTCTTTCATACGCATTCCGTCAAAAAGAAGAGAAGCGACCAGTCGGTGAGTAATCTTTTCTCTGTTAAAAATTATTTATAAGCGGTCGTTTTCGTATTAGTTTTTCGTAACAGACTTGAAATAAATTAAGTGAAATATTTGAGTGTGGAATTACATCGGTAAGTTCGTTGATTTTATAAATTAAACGTAAAAAAAAGATGACACCGGCTGCTAGACATTGGACGCGAGCCGTTATTTTTCAAGATTTTTGTAAAGGTCAATGCGCTTTGATGCCGCAGGACGAGATATCCATGTCTCTGGGCATGGGCGTGTAGATTATACGGCATATTTGCATATAGAATGGCGTAAAAATCGGATTTTACCGGATTCGAACACGCTAACGCACGGGGCGTAGGAACAAAAGAATCAACCGTTATATTTTGTTTGCCGCATGAATGGAGTGATCGCACTACATGTACGATAGATTCATTATATTTACAGTTACACATCTAAAATAACATATAATTGCCTGGATTTAATGTGTTCTCGTGGTCTTGTTTTTTTTTCATTGGAAGTAGGTGCATTATATTTTGTGCCGTTATGGACATGGATTGAGTGAGCGAACGTCGGTTTTGTACATTTTTCCTTGTCTGGAATGTGGCTAGCAGTTGCAGTCTAAAAATAACATATTTCGTTGTTACCTGTGGAGGCTTTTGTTATCTTTTTGGTTAGGCTCTCAGTCTTTGTGTTAAACTTACAATTCACATTTTGTCAGTTACGATATTGTTACTTATCTAAGTAGGTAGGTACTTATTTGGTTCTACTGTTTTGTTGTTATCTATGAAGTTGTTGATCAGTTTTAAAACAATGAGTCTCATTGGTCCATTTTTTAACGTTAATCTCATATGATTGGTCCATTTGTTTTTCATTGATTTCATAACACACATGGTCTCTAATTTTGTTCGAATTTGTCAATGTGCACATGGCAATCATAGCATATTCTTCTATCTTTATTTCATATTAATAGTCATCAAATATTAAACATATAATACCGAAGTAATATCTCATGAAATACTAATAAACTAATATTGTACATTTCGTTGTAATTATTTCCTCTGTGAACTAAACATAGAGTCAACAACCTCTGATTTATCACAGTTTATCAGTAGCTACATTCTAATGACCCTTTTGATTGGCACATGGAAGTAACATATCTACTATGTAAAAATAACAATAACTAATGAAATAGGCTTTCAAACAGTATTTACATTGGGGAAATATGTAACAATTGATCATTCTCATATGGAAAGGTACAGAAATATTTTTTATGTATTTAAAATTGTGGGGTTTATACATCGAACTGTCCAGCGTTTTATTTCCAGTCAGTTGGCTACTCATAATCTTTGTATAATATCATCCATTATTTTATTATATCTGTTATTTATAAATTTTTTTATTACCATAAAAACTTATGATGATGGATGGCGAGGATGGCTGCTAGTTTTGTTTTGTCCTGAAAATCAATGATTTTTTCTTCTTTAAATGAAAGATTTTATCGTAGTCTTGAAGTCTTGTTGTTACCAAAATTGCAAATAGAAAGATTTAGTTCCCCTAGAGGAAATATTGAATTGGCAAACCTCGAAGCACCTAATTATGGAGAAACATTTGTTGTACAACAGGATATATTGAGAATAAATAAACATTTATTATTGTAATGCTGTAAACTTCCCTAATTTTGTCATTTTGTTGTTGAGTGTGAAGTGAATGGAGATGGGGTAAAACTAAATTGAACATGATCCCTGTTTGTCACTTCATTTGTATAAAAATCATCATGATTGTTTGTGATACTGAAATGTAGACCATCTTTGTGGCCATTTTATCCAAATCCTCTGTCATTTTGATGTGGTTGTGGACTACATTAACATCCATAAGTAATTTTTGTCCAACAGTACTGAAATAATTTAGAACTGAAATTACGAACTTCCGTAATTTTTAACAGTAGCTCATTGTTTTCTTACATGAAACTCAAAGAAACATATTCTTAGTGATAAAACTCATTCATAAATTAGTCCATTATTTTCGAATACAAAGACACTTGTTATACGTCTTGTCGTGTGTCTCAGACCACAAAGGCGGCCACACGACCGCAGACCATTCCTGGAGGCTCCCTCCGAGCGTCATTGCTCCATATTAGCATGTACAAAGCTATTATAGCACCTACTTCCTCCGTGCGTGTAACCACATTCCGATCTAATGAACCTTCCTTTATGCTTCGTGATGTCGATTTATTAATTACATTTGCCCTCTTTTCGAGCTAAGTACATTAGCCTTCCGAACAAAGATGTTGACCAGGTATTTCGGTAGTGATAAATAACTTAGCACTAATTAGATTTCCTTTATCTTCGTCCTATATTTTCTGGCGTATTGCCAAGACCCGATTCGCTTGAAGGCACTAATCGGGATTTCGTTGGCAAGCTAACTTGTTGTTACCTTTCGCTATCCTGTTTTTGGGTTCAAAGCTACGTAATAACTTTTCTCTGCAGAAATTGGACGTCGAAGAGATTATTTTGCTATAACGTAGCAATTTCAAAGCAAAAAGTTGTGTTAGACTACCACTGGTCGTTATTAGTTGTTTATACAACAAAAAACTTTCTTATTGAGTATTGAATCGGAACTAACGAAGCGCTTGTCTAGTAGGATTCTCGTAGGCACTTATATTCCCTTGATGGGGAAGCTAGATATTGCCAGTTGATTGTCAATCAGCAATAGTGAAAGGTGGCTCATGTATTGCATTCGTAGAATCGTCAGTTTCTCTCGGTACGGAAAAGAGGATAATAACATCACAAATGTCATTTACTTTGTAGCTAAAAATCAGTATGTAACAGAGCCGTATCCAGATCTCTTCAATAAGACAATTCTAGAAATATATTTGAAGAAGCACTTAAAAACTTTTTCATTACAACAGTAGCGTAACAATAAAGCTCGGAACTTTTTAATTAAGTCTGTTGTAGGTCTGAGTTATAATACACAAAATCGGTAACTATTGTCCTTAAATCTCTTTTGGGTGTTGGTCTTCTTTCTACTCGCTTATTGCTTGACACACTTTCATGTCCATCAACATCATCTTCATCTGTAGCATTTTTTTTTCTAGGATTCTCTGATCTTGACATGGTTAAAGCTAAGTTGGTTTTGCACAGAATTTTCCTGAAAATTCTTCCTCTTATACAATTCATTTTTTGGTCAATGGACATCTGATGAGATCGCCATAATAGACAAGTAACAAGATCGATTACTCTAGCTAATATCTAGATACAAGAAATAATGAAATCCTCGTTAACTATGCAGAAATCTGTAGAATTTGTAACCGTGATGAAATGTACAGTTTCACCCGAGTAGGACCAACACCGACTAGATAGCATTGCTTCCGAGGTTCGTTAAGTAACCGGGTTACCCTCGGCTGATTACAACTTTGCTTCGATAACGAAGATATTCTCGTGTTAACGTTTCATTATAAATAAACTCATTGTACAGCATAACGTTGGGAACATGTGCGTTTGAAGGACTGAAAATTTTTTAACGAGGCGTTCTCTCATATAATGTTTGATTGTTTCGTTTGTTAGTTCGTGTATTTTAGGTAATTGCGGCAAATAGGTCAATCGGATTTGTGGTCATTTTAATCGCTAAGCGTACCTCGACCTCACGAGTTTGGTCACGTAATTATTGTTTGGATTATGGGATTACTCATATGGCATAGCTCGGTGTTTACGACAACGTAACAAAAATGCTGGATAAATTGGGAGATTGAGCCAGTATTTTGGCACCAGTCTGGGTCCGTGTCTGCCTCTAGCTATGTAGGTGGGTCTTTGAATTTATTTGGTATCG